ATATAAAAAATTGTAAAACAGGGATACATACCTTAAAATCCTCGAGATAAGGCATCCTATCATACCTCTTCTCCCTCCCAATCCCAAATTTCTTCTTCCTCCTGCTCTTCCTCTTTTCTTTCACGTTCCTCCAGCTCCTCTTTCTCTTCCTCCCCGAAGAGCTACCGCAGGTCAAAAATATCTTCGTCCTGGCGACTCTCCGGGGTGTCGCCCCACATGTATGAGAAGTGGCTCCTCCTTGCCCGGCGTATCGTCCGCACCCACTGGCGGTGGCTTATATTTACAAATCCCTGGATTTCAATTTCATCCTGGGACTATATAAAAATATTTATTATTACACATTCTTTTTTTCACAATTTTTTAACAATTTATCATGAAAATGATACTTACATTCCATCGAAAAATTATGTTTAATGCAACATTATTTAAGATATCCAAGAATTTCGTCTTCCATTCTTGAATATAAAATACAATATGATCCATTTTTGACACTTCACACTTTACTCGCGCCAGTTAGAACTTTATGAAGCGGCAATGAGGTCCCGGCACGAGGTTTTATAGTAAAGATGTCGCATTATCACCATGCCAAAAACGCGTCGTAAGACAAAAGTACATCCGGTCCCATGCAACTCAGCGCGGTATAATATAATATCAATATCATATCATGACTTTGTGAGAAGACAAACTTCTCGGTACGAAACTTTAGAATAGAGACGTATCATCATCGCTTTACCAAAAACGCATCGTAAGACAAAAGTATGCATCTTTCCCATGCAAATTAGCACGATATAATGTAATGCGTCAACTGATCAAACGGAAATGAATGGTAATTGAACGGTCAGCAAACGGAAATGAACGGTAATTGAACGCTCTTCGAACGCTTTTCGAACGATCATCGAACGGAAATGAACGACCGTCGAACGGTAATTGAACGCTCTTCGAACGCTCGTCGAACGGTAATTGAACGGTCATCGAACGGAAATGAACGGTAATTGAACGGTCATCGAACGGAAACGAACGGTTGTCAAACGCCGTCGAACGGAAATGAACGGTAATTGAACAGCCATCAAACGGAAACGAACACCCGTTGAACGGAAATCAAACTTAAAATTATATTCATTTATCAAACAAATATTTCAATGTATTACAATGTAGTATCGAAATACAATATATGTGGCAGCTGTGTCACGTATGGAAACACGATACTGCGCACATGCATAGATAGAGATGAGGAAAAAAAAGGAGAGAATAAGAAAGACGATAAAAATATATCGCATCATCAATTTATTATAAATATGGATTCGAAGAATCATCATCATGATGTTTCAACCACCAATTATAAATTTTAAATACATTTTGTAGAGCGCAATTTTTTAAATGATTTTCACAACGCATAGTATTCTTAACATCTAACTTATTTAAAGAAGCTACATCCTCACAGTCTGCATCCAAAGTTTCGATAATGACATCGTTTCTCGCATCATCGTCCAGTATATTGGCCAACCATTGTCGCTTTTCGTGGCCTTTAACGTACACGAGAGGTGATGCATCATCCTCCTCCGTTGCACCCATCACCGCGTGATTAAACGTTTCGAATTCCAATATGAAACGTGTCCATCATTCCACGATAATCCATGATGGTTTTTAATCAGCCATAAAACCTGACATCTCTCAGATTTTGTGAGCATGTACCATGGTACCGGGCATGTAAAAATGTAATGAGAAAGTACGGATCCTTTTCTCAAAACCGCAGCTTCCTTCACGACAAAATTTTTCCCAACGATAAATCCTTGCAGATCCACAAATGTTGGCGCAGCCATGATGATAAGATCCGATCGCAGACTGATGTCAATCGTCAAACATCTCAATCTTTTATATTTTTCTTCATATGCAATGGAGGGGATATTTGCTATGTAATTTTGCGGACTACATTAGTCAATGGATTATATTCGACAACCCGATCGTGCAAGATGAGACAATAGGCGGTAGTATTCGCAGGTATATTTTCCCTGCACTCAAACTCTATTCTCACATCCACGGTAGCAGTTTTGACAGACTCGTTTTGTCGCGAGCAATCAATGACCGCTAGAGGACCGCAATGTAGAAATTTTGGAATGGTTAATAGCGCGGTGCTATCGCATCCGTAATACGATTTGCGAAAACGAGAGTACATGTCGAATAGGAATCTATTTTTTTCAAAATCTAAATTTAAATCATCGTAGGGATAAAATTCCGAGTTTAAATAGAGTTTAACGTTGGTCAATTTGCAGTTATCGAACAATGTAACATCTTGTGACACCGAATTCTTTTTACCAGTTTGCAGTCCAAAGATCACGTATCGCGGTTTCTCTAGCTGGGAGGCAGCTTTCACGGTCCACGAATGTTTGGTCGTGCTATGTAACAGAGGAAATTCGTATAGATCCCAAGATCGGAAACTCATGTTCAAATATCATCCGCTTTCCAACATTCGCAACATTGATAATTTATTAATCTCGTTCAATATTACATGAGGCATACGCCACTGTATCTTGAGTAATTCAATCTCAGCTTCCGACGACGGATGTCCGAATAGACAATTATTATCGTTGCGCGAACGTATCAAAATCAATTCGTGACGAGCGTTAATCACAACGCGTTTATAATCTTCGCAAAATCCTAGCAACATGTTGAGCGGCACGCAAAAGTTGAAATAATTTTTGTCACCGTTGTACGTCAAATCCCACGCAGCGTTCTTCAAGTTTATACTTTTCTGGTGCGTTAGAGAGACATAATCTTTGAGCTTCGATGTTATTCCAACATTTCTGTTGCGATCAATCTCTCCGTCGAGTTCGTATCGAAGCTCATCAAACATGAATGCGATGCAATTGTTTCCCAATACAACCTTCATTTCATCATTCGCTTTACGCACATTAAATCTTCCCTCGATGTAAAGAAAGCTTTCGCATGGTAACGTGTATAAATCCTGATGTTGTATAGGTATTCGTATCTCGTCGCTGTATCCAAGCGTCGTATTGGCGTACGGATTGTACGTATGAGTCTCAATCTTGACGATGCGATCGTCAAAGACTGGCTCACCTTCGATATTCAAAACATCAATCATTTTTTTCGTACGATGAATCCCAATGATTTCAAAAATTCACGATTCAACGCACTCAGCTTCTTTTTAACGGCAATCTTATTATTGTCACCCGATACTGCTCGCCTTACTGCAATAGTATTGTCCCGCGTAAAAGTATTGTCTCTCGCGTGCTCCGTTTCGTTCAGTACAAGCATACTATATTTGTACTGCCGCCGTATATGCAATCTTACGGTAATTTCCTCTCCTCGAAAATCGAGCAATCGACCTCTTTGATCCACAATACGTATCGTTAAATCCGTAATGCTCCGTACAACGATCGGCAGATAAATGATCTGTGCCGGCGTTTCCGATATCTTATATCCTGGCGGTACGCTCGGCGAAAATTCATGTATCGTGTGTACGCGCATGCCGTTGCTGTACGCACCAGTAGTCACGTTGCATTCTATACGAATAATATTTACGTTTATAATATTAACATATTAATATTAACATATAATATTAACAGGTTCGTCCGATTCATACCACTTGCGAGGTTGCAATATACGATTCGACGAGAATCCAAGCAAGGATCCTACATTCGGGTTTGATAAAGTTTATTCTGTAGGCGCATTTGATTTCACTCTTTAGCGTACTGTGATTGGCGCGGAGCATTATTGGATATTCCTCATCATAATCGTTTTTAACATCTCTGGAAAGGTGTTCATCTCGCAAAATTACACGTTTGAGATAGTCATTTATGGCGTGCAATTCGTACGATCCTTCGGGAATCGTAATTTCCTTGTCGTCGTTGCCAAAATAAAATTTATTATTCGAAAAATTTACGTTCGGAATCGTGTGATAAGTTTCAAAATCCGTTAATCCGAGCTCGTAATCGGCATCAGTCAAATCTATAGCGGGGAAATAGCTTACAGCGAGAACGCTGCTTCTGCCAGTCAACGTAAGTGTCAGTGACATGTCGAACGAATACTGAGTCATGACGATGGATTGTCAGACTTTAAATTGATCGTTTGAAGAAATTTTAAACACAACTGTCCACAGATACTCTGATTATAACTTTGATAAGATGTATAATTGTATTCAATCTTCACTCGTCCGAAATATCGCACAAGTTCCTCGGGTGGTCGAAGATTTCCAAAACTGTCGAAATATACGACACGATCGTCTCTCTTTGCGTACGCTACCCAATGAATACCGGGACCATCAACGTCATCCAAATTGACGATACCGCTCTCGTTTCGTCGTACCACCGCTTATCGGTTAAATTACTTGCGCATGAAAACTCCTCTAAAGAAGGTTATACNTTTACAAGATATTTTACTGTTTATGTAAAATTAAGAAATAACTTCAAGCCTCATAACTCGGAAAGTACTTAATGAAGAAATACTTTATTATAGTGTTTTGGAAAGCTCTCGACGTGAGCTACCAGAACATTCAATAAAAAATAAGTGGTCCCATTTAAAAAATTGAAGGCGACCTTCACGTGAACTTCAAACGACTGTGCAAGGTCAAACCAATGACACCGTCTTATGGCCCTCTTCAAGCCATACAACTTTTGTCTGAAACATTTCTTTCTAAAGTGCATAGTTTATGAAACATTCGACCGGTCCGGGACTTTTGGGACACCCTGTATATATATATATATATATATATATATATATATATATATATTTATATATATAATTTTATTAGGAAATATATTAATTCTAATTAGTTTTGAATCATTTTAAATGTTTTTATTAGGTAAAAACATCAATGAAACTTATTTGTATGCATAATCCGAATAACAATGGACAAGGATGTAAATAAATTGCGTACAAGGATGAATAATATTACTAGGAAATGTGTATATTAGAGTTCATAAATTTTACGACTTTGACGATTCAAGTTGAAAAATAGAACGCAACTAGCTATGCAATCTCGTAAACTCTTTTTGCCGAGAAAGTACTTAAGATTTGCATGCGATTCGATCGATTATATTCATGGGAAATTATGTGATTTCCTTTGAACAGCGAATCATCGACTATTCCGAGCGTAACAGAAAAATTGCACATTTTCAAGGTAAAACACGCTGTGCAATATAATACTTACGTGCTTCATGGAAAAAATCGACATACTTTATCGAAGCAAGCTTCCACGATTGTAACTAATCGCTTACGATTAATTGCAGTATGAAAAATGGATTTTTCCTTCTGCATGAAATGATCCATCGTTCATTTATTTTTATTTCACTCGTTAAAAAGTTTCTAATATGATCGTCCAGAGAAAAGACCTTTGTCTTTTTATTGTCAAATATCAATTTTATCTCAATTTGTAACAAGTTTAATATGCAAAAATATTATTTTTCTCATGGAAAAATTCACTGCATTGATGTTTTTTCAAAAGATTTTTTTACATTATATTTTACATTTTAATGTCAGAATTATAAGCAAAGAAATAATTTAAATATATAAAAATTTTAACTATTTAACTTAAAATAAATTTTAACTTAAAAATACACTCGGCAACAAAATTATCATATAAGTAATTTCATGTCAAATTTTCCCATAACTTCAAATAAGTATAACTCCATTAATAAAAATGATCGTATTTGAAAACTTTTTTTTTCATTCCCAAGCTTAAAGCCTCTATTTTAAAAATCATTTGTCAGATTTAGAATTTACCCTCCCCCCTCTCGTCATCTCCTTAAAAGTAAGCACGTGTTACATCTTCAAAAATTGCATAATTTGACGCATTCCACGGGGTGGAATATAAATTTGTGTCGCAAATTTCATGATAATCATCGTAAAATTTGGACTTTATGTGTGAATTTAAAAAAATGAAGTTTTTTTTCGCGGAGTTACGACATATCAAAGTTACCTATACATTTTGATTCATTTACCGCCAGCATCAAGAGACACGGTAGTGTCTTGTGCTAAGTCCCGCGTAAGCAACAAGACACTCCGTGTATTATTACGCGAGTCGGATAGTTTGAGATGTTCGAGTTTATCATATTGAAATATAATCGCTGAACGGATCGAGTTCTTACTAGGCTTAATTGATAGCTTGAGTTTGATTTATATAAGAAAAGTGTCTTTATTTTTGCTCTACGTGCATCGTGAACAGCAATATTATGATCCAAAGTCGAAATATGAAAAAAGGTAAAAAAAGGTGTTAAGTCCGCGTAAAAAACAGTATATGTATTTGCTAAATAGTGTATTATTAACTGTAAAAAAACTACTGTATTGTATATCCTACAAAAATAATGATATCAAAAAAATTGCGCTAAGTGAAAAAAAAACTTATAAAAATACTTTAACCAAAAAAAGTTATACAAAATAGTTGTTTTAATTTTCTACATTATATTCTAGAAAAATAATGATATCCAAAAATTACGCTAATTGAAAATAAAAACTTAAAATATTTTAACTAAAAAAAATTGTACAAAATAATTGTTTTAATTTCCTACAAATAATATTAAAAAGTTGCGCCAACTGAATAAAAATGTCTACTATAAAATAGACATATTTCTTTTTTATTTTTAATATTAAAAGAAAAATGATATTAAATGAATTGTAATATATCTATCATAAAAAATCGTTGAAAATATGAACAATCATATACATTGCAATAATCATATGCATATATCTTGAAAAGTTTAATTAAAAAAAAAAAAGAAAATGATAATACAAAATTAAAAATTAGAAATTAATAAATAAAAAATAAAAATTTATATAAAAATTAAAAATTAATACATATAAAAAAATTTTAGTTGAAAAACTTAGCGCTGCTACGCTGAACAATGTGCTAATGAAATAAGCAGCGCTAAGTTTTTTAACTAAAATTTTTTTATATGTATTAATTTTTAATATTATTTGTAGGAAATTAAAACAATTATTTTGTACAATTTTTTTTAGTTAAAATATTTAAGTTTTTATTTTTAATTAGCGTAATTTTTGGATATCATTATTTTTCTAGGATATAATGTAGAAAATTAAAAGAACTATTTTGTATAATTTTTTTGGGTTAAAGTATTTTTATAAATTTTTTTTCACTTAGCGCAATTTTTTTGATATCATTATTTTTGTAGGATATACAATACAGTAGTTTTTTACAGTTAATAATACACTATTTTGCAAATACATATTCTGTTTTTTACGCGGACTTAGCACCTTTTTTTACCTTTTTTTTAAAAGCGTAATTTTTAGGGATTAGCATTACCCGATGCGCACTACGAAATTTGACGTATTGTGTGTATGTGTGTGTGTGTTGGAGGACAGAAATGTGGAAATGTTCACATTTAAAAAAACACAGAAGTTATGAGAAAATTTGACATGAAATTACCTATGCGATAATTTTGTTGACGATTGTAATATATTTATAATATACAATAATATAATTATAATATATAAATATATTATAAATATTATAAATATTGTTATAAATATTATCAATATTATTATAACAATATAATTATAATACATAAATATATTATAAATATATTATAAATATTACTTAAGAATAATTTATATATATATATATATATATATATATATATATATAAATTATTCTTAAGTAATATTTATAATATATTTATAATATATTTATGTATTATAATTATATTGTTATAATAATATTGATAATATTTATAACAATATTTATAATATTTATAATATATTTATATATTATAATTATATTATAATTATATATATATATATATATATATATATATATATATATATATACAGGGTGAGGCATCTAAAACAGGCCACCTGAATAACTCCGTTGGTAAGCCGAATACAAAAAAATTGTTCAGACAAAAGTTGTATGGTTTCAAGGGGGACATATGATGGTGTCATTAGTTTAATCTTGAAGAGCCACCCGAAGGTCACGTGAAGATCAGCTTCAACTTTTTAAATGGGACACCTTATATGCTTTTGCATATTCTTGTAGCTCATCTCAAGAGCTTTCCAAAACACTACAATTATGTTAGTTTTCATTAAATACTTTCCAAGTTATGAGGCTTGAAATCATTTTTTAATTTTACATAAACCGTAAAATATCTTGTAAAATATTCATTTTTCGATTATTTTACCTGAATACTTTTATGTACAAAATAATGAGAAGAATCAATTGGTGTAAAGAAAACACATAATTGCTTCGAACAAAAAAATGTAATTGTTAATTGCAAATTACATTTTTTTGTTCGAAGCAATTATGTGTTTTCTTTACACCAATTGATTCTTCTCATTATTTTGTACATAAAAGTATTAAGGTAAAATAATCGAAAAATGAATATTTTACAAGATATTTTACGGTTTATGTAAAAATAAAAAATGATTTCAAGCCTCATAACTTGGAAAGTATTTAATGAAAACTAACATAATTGTAGTGTTTTGGAAAGCTCTTGAGATGAGCTACAAGAATATGCAAAAGCATATAAGGTGTCCCATTTAAAAAGTTGAAGCTGACCTTCACGTGACCTTCGGGTGGCTCTTCAAGATTAAACTAATGACACCATCATATGTCCCCCTTGAAACCATACAACTTTTGTCTGAACAATTTTTTTATATTCGGCTTACCAACGGAGTTATTCAGGTGGCCTATTTTAGATGCCTCACCCTGTATATACACGGTGGGCCATTTTAATCGATGCACTCGAATATCTCGAAAACAGCACTCTTCAGAATGAAATGTTTCAAACAAAAATTGTAGGGTGTGAAGGGGGACATAAGATGGTAGCATTGGTTTGACCTTGGAAAGTCATTTGAAGGTCACATAAAAGTCACCTTCAATTTCTTAAATTGAACCCATTATTTTTCATTACATATTCTTGTAGCTTATCTCGAGAGCTTTCCAAAACACTACAGACAAATGTTTTTTTATTAAATACTTTTTGAGTTATAAGGCTTCAAAGTTTGCAATACTTCGATATAAAATGCAAAATATTTCGTAAAATATTTAGTTTTTGGTAGTCTTACCCTAATACTTTTATGCACAGGATAATGAGACAAAACTATTGGTGCAAAGAAAACGCATGATTGTTTATAACAAAAAGTGCATTGCAAATTACACATTTTTTATCATAAACAATCATACGTTTTCTTTGCACCAATAGTTTTGTCTCATTATCCTGTGCATAAAAGTATTAGGGTAAGAGTACCGAAAACTAAATATTTTACGAGATATTTTGCATTTTATATCGAAGTACTGCAAACTTTGAAGCCTTATAACTCAAAAAGTACTTAATGAAAAAACATTTGTCTGCAGTGTTTTGGAAAGCTCTCGAGATAAGCTACAAGAATATGCATTGAAAAATGGGGGTTTCCATTTAAGAAATTAAAGGTGACCTTCACGTGATCTTCAAATGACTTTCCAAGGTCAAACCAATGCTACCATCTTATGTCCCCCTTCACACCCTACAATTTTTGTTTGAAACATTTCTTTCTGAAGAGTGCTGTTTTCGAGATATTCGAGTGCATCGATTAAAATGGCCCACCGTGTATATATATATATATATATATATATACAGGGTGTATCAGAGCGACCGTATCAGGTTAGTATTTCGAAAAATACGCATTTACTTGAAAGAAAATATTTATTTTTCGATTATCTTACCTTAATATTTTTATGTACAAAATAATGAGAAGAATCAATTGGTATAAAAAAAACACATAATTGTTCCGAAGAAAAAATATGTAATTTGCAATTAACAATTACATATTTTTTCTTAAAAACAACTGTGTATTTTCTTTACACCAATTGATTCCTCTCATTATTTTGTACATAAAAGTATTAAGGTAAGATAATAAAAAAATTAATATTTTACTAGATATTTTATGGTTTATGTAAAATTGAAAAATTATTTCAAACCTCATAACTCGAAAAGTACTCAATGAAAAAATACTTTATTATAGTGTTTTGGAAAGCTCTCGAGGTCAGCTATAAGAATATACAATCAAAAATAGGGGTTTTCATTTAAAAACTTTTAATTGATTTTTCCGTGTCCTTAACAACACTATCCAAGGTCTAACTATGCTATGTAATGCGCCCCTTAAAGTCCTACAACTTTTGTTCGGAACATTTTTCAAGTAAATGCGTATTTTTCGAAATACCAGCCTGATACGGTCGCTCTGATACACCCTGTATATACAGGGTGAGGCATCTAAAACAGGCCACCTGAATAACTCCGTTGGTAAGCCGAATATAAAAAAATTGTTCAGACAAAAGTTGTATGGTTTCAAGGGGGACATATAATGGTGTCATTAGTTTAATCTTGAAGAGCCACCCGAAGGTCACGTGAAAGTCAGCTTCAACTTTTTAAATGGGACACCTTATATGCTTTTGCATATTCTTGTAGCTCATCTCAAGAGTTTTCCAAAACACTACAATTATGTTAGTTTTCATTAAATACTTTCCAAGTTATGAGGCTTGAAATCATTTTTTAATTTTACATAAACCGTAAAATATCTTGTAAAATATTCATTTTTCGATTATTTTACCTTAATACTTTTATGTACAAAATAATGAGAAGAATCAATTGGTATAAAGAAAACACATAATTGCTTCGAACAAAAAAATGTAATTGTTAATTGCAAATTACATTTTTTTGTTCGAAGCAATTATGTGTTTTCTTTATACCAATTGATTCTTCTCATTATTTTGTACATAAAAGTATTAAGGTAAAATAATCGAAAAATGAATATTTTACAAGATATTTTACGGTTTATGTAAAATTAAAAAATGATTTCAAGCCTCATAACTTGGAAAGTATTTAATGAAAACTAACATAATTGTAGTGTTTTGGAAAGCTCTTGAGATGAGCTATAAGAATATGCAAAAGCATATAAGGTGTCCCATTTAAAAAGTTGGAGCTGATCTTCACGTGACCTTCGGGTGGCTCTTCAAGATTAAACTAATGACACCATCATATGTCCCCCTTGAAACCATACAACTTTTGTCTGAACAATTTTTTTGTATTCGGCTTACCAACGGAGTTATTCAGGTGGCCTGTTTTAGATGCCTCACCCTGTATATACAGGGTGAGTCATTTTAATCAATACACTCGAATATCTCGAAAACAGCACTCTTCAGAAAGAAATGTTTTAAACAAAAATTGTAGGGTGTGAAGGGGGACATAAGATGGTAGCATTGGTTTGACCTTGGAAAGTCATTTGAAGGTCACATAAAAGTCACCTTCAATTTCTTAAATTGAACCCACTATTTTTCATTACATATTCTTGTAGCTTATCTCGAGAGCTTTCCAAAACACTACAGACAAATGTTTTTTCATTAAATACTTTTTGAGTTATAAGGCTTCAAAGTTTGCAGTACTTCGATATAAAATGCAAAATATCTCGTAAAATATTTAGTTTTCGGTAGTCTTACCCTAATACTTTTATGCACAGGATAATGAGACAAAACTATTGGTGCAAAGAAAACGTATGATTGTTTATAACAAAAAGTGCATTGCAAATTACACATTTTTTATTATAAACAATCATACGTTTTCTTTGCACCAATAGTTTTGTCTCATTATCCTGTGCATAAAAGTATTAGGGTAAGACTACCGAAAACTAAATATTTTACGAGATATTTTGCATTTTATATCGAAGTACTGCAAACTTTGAAGCCTTATAACTCAAAAAGTACTTAATGAAAAAACATTTGTCTGTAGTGTTTTGGAAAGCTCTCGAGATAAGCTACAAGAATATGTAATGAAAAATAGTGGGTTCAATTTAAGAAATTGAAGATGACTTTTATGTGACCTTCAAATGACTTTCCAAGGTCAAACCAATGCTACCATCTTATGTCCCCCTTCACACCCTACAATTTTTGTTTGAAACATTTCTTTCTGAAGAGTGCTGTTTTCGAGATATTCGAGTGTATTGATTAAAATGACTCACCCTGTATATATATATATATATATATATATATATATATATATATTAATAAAGTAATACATAATACGTGCCATATACACACAAATGGTGGTACATTAATCGCAAGTTATTTAATAGAGAAGATATTAATCTCACGCGACACACATTCAAATGAATTTATAATTATTCGTGTTGTAAAGCTCGTTTGGACGCAAATCCCTGCACTTCTTGCCAAACGAGAAACATTTATGTGTAATTGATGTTTCACAATGCAAATTGCAAAATTCGCGAGAATTGAGTTGCGCAATTTGTAGATTCAATTCAACAAAAACAGAGAATTGTCGTATCTTCCGGACGCGCCAGCGGAAGTGACGAGTATTCGGTCACAAGATCGGTCACGATTGAATTATCATAACTGAACTGCTTTTCCGGTTTTATGCAGGAAATCCCATTCAGGACAGGACAAGACGAGAAGCCGAGATAGCGTCCACCAACTGGACCGCTCTGGCCGACGAATGGATTGCGGCGAAGGCCAGAGCCGCCGAAAAGATGGATGTCGCTCTGCTGCCGTTCAACGAAAGATTTCGGGAATTACCACCCACGGTGGAGACTTTTGTTGTTAACGGTACGAAAGAAATGGCACGGGTAAGGAGGAATAGATTTTGTTCGCATCAGTACGTACATCCTCGGTACGTGAACAAAACGATATAATTTATTATTAGTTAAAAGTTTGCACTATCGTTGTTAATATTGTGTAAGATACTTCATTCATCATGAATTCGAAATTTCCTCTGATATATAAATCTATGAAAGATTGAATCGTTTTTAATGTGTAAACTGACGTAAGAACTTGTACGAAAAATATGTCATAAATTGCATCTTGCAGATATTTTATCAAATCTTTAGCAAACATGATGATACACAATAATTGGATTGTTGGAATAATTTTAAAGCTTATTTTATATTTGAAAATTTTAAATTTACTATTTTAATTTTACTAATTTACGTTGATTTTTTAAAAAATTTTGACTTCAAAATACTGACAAGTATACATAATATTTTCCGTTTCTTTATTATTCTATATTATAAAATTATATGTAATATTACATATTACATATTAAATATTACATATTAAAATGATATATAAAATGATATATAATTTATTTATAAAATTATATAATTTCGAAAATATATTTTTGAAAAATTCTAGGATGATAAAAATTACGATATCTGCTAAACACTTTGTACATCTTTACCGCGCATATTGCGTAAGTTCAACGATTGATATCAATACGATTGACATTGTTCGATCTGTTTCTACTTTGCGTGATAGTAGTTACATGTCGGACGCAATTAGACCGCTGAAAACGCATTCGATACACTCGATTAATAAGAAAAGTAGCATTTATCGACTCAACCTTTTTCCGTATAAATAGAAACGTATTATGCTATGGAATTATTATTGCACAAATAAACTGATAAAATCGATAATCGTGAAATGAGAAAAGATTATGAAAAACTTTCTACATTCGTTCGCTTTGTTTTGTGATAAGAAACGAGAAATTGATCTAATCGATGCATTTTCACTCCTGCGTCCACATATTAATCGGTATATTTCTCCTTGATGCACGAAATTAATTTAGAAAAGCATTAATCAACCGTAATATTGATATCGCATTAACGGATGTGTATCATATAATTAATATGCGCCAAGAATTACTACATCAAGAAATTGTTAAATCGGTACAGATGAAACTTTATTCGATTGGCCAGAGACTTTTTAACATATAGAATTCGATAAAAGATGATGTTTATTGTTTAATGAGGTAGCTTTAAAAATGCGCGAGAGACTGCAAGTCTCTAGACTGATAACATAGAAATTGTCGAGATTCGAATGAATGAGATGATTAGAGGGCAAATACAAAATGTGTTTGTCAAGCTTTATTTAGATCAAATTTTGAGCTACTATTGACTTCGACAGACAACGAGAATAAAGATTCTAAAAATCGCGGTACAAATTTTGAAAGGAAACACTATTTAATATAAGTGTGTGAGTACAAATATAAATATATGTATATATGTGTGAACGACGTGATGTCAACAGATAGAAAAACTAACTGAATAGATGTATTGTCGAAGACCGTTTGAAGAATGATATAGAAGATATGATAGATATATACAGAGTGTCCCAAAAGTCCCGGACCGGTCGAATATTAAACTATGCACTTTAGAAAGAAATGTTTCAGATAAAAGTTGTATGGCTTAAAGGGGGCCATGAGATAGTGGCAATGATTTGACCTTGGACAGTCATTTAAAGGTGACGTAAAGGTCACCTTCAATTTCTTAAATGGAACTCCCTATTTTTTATTACATATTCGTATAGCTCCTCTCGACAGCTTTCCAAAATACTATAATAAAGTATTTCTTCATTGAGTATTTTTCGAGTTATGAGGCTTGAAATCATTTCTTAATTTTGCATAAACCATAAAATATCTAGTAAAATATTCATTTTTCGATTATCTTACCTTAATACTTTTATGTACAAAATAATGAGAGGAATCAATTGGTGTAAAGAAAACACATAGTTTAAAAAAAAATATGTAATTGTTAATTGCAAATTACATATTTTTTTTAAAAACAACTATGTGTTTCTTTTACACCAATTTATTCCTCTCATTATTTTGTACATAATAAAATTATTAAGGTAAGATAATCGAAAAATGAATATTTCACAAGATATTTTAGGATTTATGTAAAATTAAGAAATGAGCTTCATAACTCGAAAAGTACTCAATGAAGAAATACTTTATTATAGTGTTTTGGAAAGCTCTCGAAATAAGCTATACGAATATGTAATAAAAAATAGGAAGTTCCATTTAAGAAATTGACGGTGATCTTCACGTGACTTTCAAATGACTCTCCCATGTCAAATCATTGTCACTGTCTGATGGCCCCTTTCGAGCCATACAACTTTTGCCTGAAACATTTCTTTCTAAAGTGCATAGTTTATGAAATATTCGACCGGTCCGTGACTTTTGGGACACCCTGTATATATATATATATATATATATATATATATATATATATATATAATATAGAGCGTTAATATACAAACAGAAATTTTAAATACGAAAACAATTTGATATTTCGAAAAATAAACCGTTAAATAAAGGAGTTAGTTTTTGACGAATTAAAATAGAAGTAAACCTTTTTTTTAGTAAAAGATATGAAGAAAAAATTTTAAAAATATATATGTAACGAAATCGATTTCAAAATTTTGTAAGAAAATTATAAGGTGATAAATGGTCCGCTTCTCATTCTCCTATGTGATATCAAGAAATCACTTTATTTTAGATCTTTAATTAAAAGATTTTTACTTAATATAAAGATATAATGAATTATGATATATTGAACATTAAAATCTATATAAAATATTATAATATAATAAAATATAATAAAATAATATAAAAGTTATTGAAAATACTTCTCAAATTTTAATTTAAAAACAAATATTTCGATCGAAATGCGTAGAAAAAAAATTGTATAAATAAGTAGTTTTTTATCTACTTTATATACCCATGAGAAAGCCCATCTTTATCGAAATACTCCGCTAGAAGCATATACACGGTGGGCCATTTTAATCGATGCACTCGAATATCTCGAAAACAGCACTCTTCAGAAAGAAATGTTTCAAACAAAAATTGTAGGGTGTGAAGGGGGACATAAGATGGTAGCATTGGTTTGACCTTGGAAAGTCATTTGAAGGTCACATAAAAGTCACCTTCAATTTCTTAAATTGAACCCACTATTTTTCATTACATATTCTTGTAGCTTATCTCGAGAGCTTTCCAAAACACTACAGACAAATGTTTTTTCATTAAGTACTTTTTGAGTTATAAGGCTTCAAAGTTTGCAGTACTTCGATATAAAATGCAAAATATCTCATAAAATATTTAGTTTTCGGTAGTCTTACCCTAATACTTTTATGCACAGGATAATGAGACAAAACTATTGGTGCAAAGAAAACGTATGATTGTTTATGATAAAAAATGTGTAATTTGCAATGCACTTTTTGTTATAAACAATCATGCGTTTTCTTTGTACCAATAGTTTTGTCTCATTATCCTGTGCATAAAAGTATTAGGGTAAGAGTACCGAAAACTAAATATTTTACGAGATATTTTGCATTTTATATCGAAGTACTGCAAACTTTGAAGCCTTCTCTCTTAAAGTCAATCAGTGAAAATAACGCTGATTGAATCAGTAAAACAGTATGTCACCGACAATCAGTGAGTATTTACTGACATTTAGTAAACATATTCCCACCTTAGTTCTCAGACTTACAATTTACTGATTTTAGGCAGTGGAAGTAAGATTTCACTGCAAATCAGTAAACCGCGAGCCAATAAAAGCTCAGTTTGTTGTTGCGCGATATTTTCTCAGTTCTTTTGTTTACGGCGTTCGTAGTAACGTGTGTCGTGCCGGGTGCCAATCGTGCATCGTTCGTCGTAACTAACACAAGTTACAACACGTTAGCTGCTATCCGTCCGCAATGATTGACGGTAAGTTCAACGCTTTTATGTGGCATTTTATTCTATTATTATAATTATTAAATTTTTTTATATTAATTATATGTATTTCGTTATCATAACCATTCTTGTAGTGTTTTATGTAATACGTAGTTGCTGACACGTGAACTTTTTTTCTTTCTATCTTTAATATTTATTTCTCAATTGTAGACTGAAATGGAAAAAATAACAAATTTATCCATTGAAGATTTAGGAATAAAAATCGAGGAAATAACAGATGAGGAGACACGAAAAAAGTTTGAAGGTTAGTATATTTGTATTTTTTTTTACGTTTTTTTAACAAACATATTTAAAAATATAAAGCATCAAATAGCAAAATTGTACATTTTATTATATATTTATTGTTACATCTCGGAATGCCATCTCAGACTTTATTCCTTTTGCAAATTATCTATACGACTGTCACATTCCAAAAATATATATTTATATTTAAAAATTGATTAAATGTCATCTCTCTTTTTTTATATATTTATCATTTCTATTTTGCAAAGTACATTTCTTGATAATAATTATAAAATAATCATTTTTAAATAATGTTTATTAATATTACAGATGCGTAAAAATTTCATTAAAATATATCAGCAATGGAGCCTTTGAAATGTTTTATGTGTCGTAATACTGTAAAAGGAGGGTTAAATGGTTTGGCAAGACATTTTACAATAGTACATGGTTTGACACTTAAACGCGGAATAGACAAAATTGGGTTTCAATGTGGTCAAAAAGATTGTTATCGAAAATTTCTTCATTTTTACTCTTTAAGAGGTCATATAAGAAAAATTCATTTTTCTCGAAAAGAAAATTATGATTTTTCTGTAGAAAATACAGAATCCACTTCTTCGTATAATAATATAATTATTAATGAAAATGATGCAAACAAAATATCTGAAAATTCAAATAATGTAGAGGTTTTAAAAATTTGTGACAATTTTAATTTAAGAGATTCTTTAATAAGTCTAATAATTAGATTACAATCAAAAGTATCAATGACCGGAAGCATTATAACTGATATTCTTGATGAATATGAACAAATAACAAATAATTTATGTGTATCATTAA